TCCTGCTGTGAAGCTGCTATATAATTTTTAGTGTTTACAACCAAACAGCAATTCAGATCAAAGTGAACTGAAAAAAATTATATTTAACAGAGATTGCTCCTTGATCATAATAAAATGGTGCTAGATCAAAGGTGACAAAAAGTTCTGTAAAATACAATACATGATCCCTAATTTTACTGCTACAGCACCTATACTTTGCATACTGGTTTCTCCTAACTAATGACTAAGCCTGACCATGCACAGGTTACACAAGGTCACTCAGGTGGGATTTGTACAGATGCTTGCAATCACCTGGAAAAAATCCTAGTACCATCATGTCTTAAAACATGCAATGAAACAGGCTGTTAAAGTAGTCACACAATGGTAAATAGCTACCTTACGGTATCTGGATTCTCTCCAATATCTGCATAGTCTCCTCTCCAAATATGAAACAGTTTAAAAAAAATAACACTAAGCTCTGAGAACAAGCAGTGAAACACAACTTATGACTACTGCTAAAAGTCTGGAATTTTCACTTGCCTCAGGTACAAGGCAATCTTCCACTAAATATTTACCAACTAATCTCTTTCTGACGCAAACAATTTTAATAAAATTCACTGTAACTTTTACTTCGTATTACTGTATAAGCAGAGGTTTAGCAGCCAAAGAAACCCCTATCAACTCATACTATTGCTTTACTTCCAAGAAAACTCAGGAAAAATACAGATATTATTCTTATTGGCCAAAATTGCTTGGTATGTGCAAACTGGTATTGTTTTAAAGTAGGGTGCATGATGTCTTTTTTGAAAGGCATGCAAATTAATTTTTAGTGTGTGTCACCCACCCAGGAAGCAAAACAAGTTAATAATTGATATTTGTTCTTCTGAGAAATGAAGTAAAAGAAAAGATTTTGGTGCAAGTTCCTTTGGTTCTTTCCTAAACTCTTGTAACTAGCAATTCATTTGTTACTTTTACTAGAAAACTACATCAGTTAAAATAAAGGAATATACACTGAGATACAAACTATAAAATATTTTCTCTTCTACAGGGGAGAGAATGCAGGGTATTTGTAGGGACAGTTAGAAGTTTTCAAAATCACTCTAGTTTTCCCCTTCCCCGGGGACAGAAAAGGAGCAAGAATCTGTGGGTTAAGAGAGAGCAGCCAGGAAGCCTCCCTGCCAGGAATGTTATGAATTACTGTTCTGTAATGCAGAAAGCCAATAAAGTCACTACACACACACATCATTCAGAACTTATGTCACCAGTAAATTTAGCAACTAAAAAACTGCTCCCACTCACAACTCATTATCCTGTGAAGGGAGATGCCTAACTAAGAGTTTGGAAACAAAGGAGTCAAACAGTAAAAAAAAGTTATCTGAATTAGCGCTATTCCTGTGATTAGTGCTACATATTAGAGGTAAATTCTCCTGAACAAAGCTGAAGCAGAATCTAAGCTCTCATTTATTTACATGGAAGGAAATTCCAACTGAATATAAGGGTGAAAAAAGTCACAGTGAGGGTGTTTAACCACCAAAATAATGTACTAAGAAAGGTTGTAGAATCTGTGTCCTTGGAGATCTTCAGAAATTGAGTTCTGTTTTGAGTCGGAGATTCAAATTTTTTATTCTGTACGTACATAACATAGTTGTGCATTACTATTACAATCTTCAGCATACAGAAAATGTGTCATCCATCCAAGTGTTTTAGTTTTGGTATTAAACAATCTCCTCATTGCAGTATTATATAAACATTTTCACTCTTTAAATCCAACAACCACCAAAAAAGCTGCAAAACAACTTCCACTCCCAGC